CATACCTTGCTGCATATGACCTCGTGATTTGGGGCAAGCTTTTGCTTAGTTACATAAGAGACACCTTGCAACAATACACTGTTCCCTATGGGTAAGAACTGCACAAAGGAACCAGTCCATTCCAGGGATGGTGGTTGCTATGCAAAAGCTTGCCCCGAATCACGAGGTATAGCAACAGTGTATTTAGTCTGAGGAATTCAAATTGTTACGTTTCTATACAATCAGATAACACAGTGTACCAGATTTTATTCAAATTTAACTCGCAAGCGGCATATTACCGCGTTCTGGCATGCCCGGTGTGTCCATAACGAGAGCGCAGCGAATGTTTGCTATGCACCATCTGTTTCACAATCATAATTAGCCCCCTTGGTATCCCATGATCATCGCCGCAAATTGTCGCTGGTAATCTGCATCCTTAACGCTTTGTGTACTGCAGTATAGCAAGTTAAATATACATTCATGCTATCGTTGGTGCTTGGTCTTGTCTGACAACATCATCAAATTTAATGCTTGCCTTGTTGCTTGTATTAGGCCTAGGCTGTGTATCCGAAGAGTTCATGTGCAGTTATTGCCCTTACCGAGTGTTTGCTCCTTGTCTTTTTTTGAGAATAAATGGCCCAGCTGTTTATTAGATAATGTGTTTTATTTGAATCATTTTATCACCAAATTAGCACAAAAAGGTATTTTATGAGCAGGGATCTCATGATAACTCCTTCTGATGAAACAGCGTATTTCGTTTCTCATGAACTTAACTGTCCTGTGGTGATTAATATATTATGTGCCAGTCTTAGCCAAATTCGTGCAAATACTTCGAAAACTGATGTTTTGGAGTGAAAAAATAAAATTACAAACATTGAGAGGATAATTGAAAAGTGCATCAAAATCGATTTTAAAAAATCATTTGCGACGAAAAAAGTAAGTCCAATATAAGATATTTTTCTTTCTATCTCCATGTCACTGCGAGAAGATGTAGTAAATGCCACAAATATTGCTACAATATTACTGGCCTCACTTTCTGGCTAAGCTGGTAGCAGTAATCAGGCATTTTTGGAATGTTACTATTGTTCGTCTGACCGCGCAGCCACGATCATCGAGCACTCTGATGTGCTAGATCAAGATGGAACTCCTTCTGTGTCCTTCCCCCATGGCCCAACCACGCAGCAACGTGGAGGGGGAAATTCCAACGTTCCAAAACGCAAAGATAAAGGAGTGAAAGAACACGCGAACACGTCGCTGCTAATTTCCATATGCAGAGTTGGGCTAAATAGGAGGCCTGGGAATGCAGGGCAACGACACGAATAAAACACAGGGGCGCTAAAGTTTCACAATCGAGGGATGCGGGTGTGCGGCAGTAGCGCATTTGCTAAGCATAGTGTTTCAAAAGTAGACATAGTTTATCAGCCTAAATGGTATAATAAAGGTCTCCCATTTGAACAAAAAATACTTGAATTGGGGTGAGGTTAACCCTCGGTTTCGGAAGCATTGGGGAGAAAACTCAACAAACTCAAACCTCAAATAATTGGGTTTCCGCCAACTATTAACATAGAAGCCCACTCGTTTCGATGTCTCGGACACGAGTCGACTGCTGTGTTCTTAGATGAAGTTTTTCAACGAATCCGCAATGTCACATTGCCAAGGAGGCGCATTACTCCAAGGTAAATTCACTGATAACTCCTAGCCGTTGAAAACTACTCCTTTTTAAGGGAATGAGAACCTGTGACGAGATGAACGTTGTGTTTGTTGGTAGACAAACATTGAGTTGTTTTGGGAAACTATTTGGGTTTGATGAAAAAGAAGGTTCAAACGGGCGGGAATCGAACAGGTGTCGTTAAGTCCACAGTTCAAAATGTAAAACTCAAAATATATGCAGGGCCCAATCATACACGCGCTTTAGAAGATACAGTGCATTTACCAGCCAGGAACAAGCCAAAATGAAATCCGTGTCTCTGTATGAGATCACTACCCTACATGCCAACGTAGAGCACGACAGTACACGTTCACATGCCTCCCCTGCCACGTGGTTGGCATTTTGCCAGCTTCCCCCAAATAGCGGGCTCTGTAACACGCTTCTTACCGTTACGGCTGCCTTAAGGGTCGAGTTGCCGGCATTTTCAACAAATAGCAATTTTTTTTCATTAGCGGCGCACAGCGTGTGTAAACAATGCAACGAGGCAAACACTTAGACAATGGATGCAGATATTAACTCCAGCTTTCGATAGGCAACTGCAGACCTTAACGTTCGGGATTCATTTTTAGTTTTTTTTTAATGATTTGAAGGTTTTTTCCGGTGTGATGACGTCATCAGCCCATATTTTTTGCAAAACGATTACAGACGTAAAAGTCTAATTTTCAAGCGATTCCAGCAAACTTAACCACCTTCTTCAAAATAGATTTTGCTTTTTTAACCGATCAATAGAGGGCGCTTGAGCGTTGAATGACGTCACAGGTGCATTTCAGAGGAAGATTGCTGTGTTGGAGACTAACACCGTTGAAAATAGGTTTTTATCTATTATCAAATTGAAATGATAAAGCACTTCCGGTTTTGACCAGTTTCGACAGGAAGTAAAGGTCACGCGATGTTACGAGCACGAAAGGAAACAGACACCGAAGACTAAATATACTCCATCACTTGGTGAGAACAGCAGGCAGCGGGAGGTCATGGTTGATTTCATGTGGAATTTGAAAATTTAACCAAAATAAAAATGTACGCGCTTGTAATTGGTAACCTGGATTTTTTAGTCTTGATTTTAATTAATTTAATCGACTGTAATTTGTATGAAATTACCTTATAGTTTTAGAATCGTGCATAGTTAAAATTTAATTTTTCTTCCATTTTCAGTTTCATCATATCTTAAAGATATTCAATGCTCTCTGTAAAGATTTCCTGGAGTGAGTTCCATATACGAATGTCACTTGACACGTGTGCATAAAACTTATGAGGCTGTTATAAAAAAGTTTTTTTCCAAAGAAAACACTTGTAAAAGTTGACTTTTTAGGTTATAATATTGCTTTCTGGGGGCTAATGAGGTCCTGCAGGGAAAAATTAGTGACATTTGCAGGTGGAAATCTTACCAATTTCCTTTCCATAAAAGTTATAGAAAAGCACTGTAAATTATTTTGGGACACTGTTCAGTGTTTGTTTTTCTTCAAATGATTGTACGGGGTCCTAGGTTACCAAAGTGTTCATTCTCTTCTTGTTTCTTCCTTATTTCGTCTTCAGCTTCTTCGTTCTTTCACAATCGTCGTATCAACAGCAAGCCATTCGCACATACATAAGCTAAACGTAAATTCATTCGTTTTATGTACTAGGAACTGGCTTATACTACCACGGATTGAAAATGAATGTGTTCAATCATGGACAAACGAAACCATCATGTTCCTAGGCAGTTCGCTCATTCACACATATGCTTTTGTGCAACCGGGAACACACAATACGGTGGTCTAATGTTGTCTAATCATTTTTTACGCATCAGTTTATCTCCATGAACTTTATTTCTTTGTATTTTGTTAAAGTAAATGATGGTCTCCATCTGCGGAAAGAAGTGTTGAATTGGTGTCCGACGTCATTTACCTCGAAATCCACAGCAAAGTAGTATGAGCTCTCAAGTAAGTGGTTCAAAAAGGCATAGGAGTGAAAATACGTGCCAAACCAAAAGGATATAATAATCACTGTTGGATGAAAAAAAAAAGGTCTTCTGCAGTGACTTGGGAAAAAAAGCCAAATAAACACGTATTTCCAAAATTCTCAGTTTTGTCGCATGGTTTGTAACTTTAAAACAGCTTTCATCTTACAAATCTCATTAGTTTTATGCGTTATTTACAGTTAATCCGTGATACTGTTTCATTTGTTTCAAATTTTCAAACCGATCAGCATCGCCTAATGCGTTAAAGTACATGTCAAGCGCACGGCTTTACACCACTGATCTCTATACACTGGATAGGCAGCTCTCCTCTGTGAAGCGATTGCGCAGCCATCTTAGGCTATTCAATACAATGGCATTTTCCAGGTCACCCGCTTTAGCGCCGTGCATGAATGCACTTTAGCAACTGGACGGACTTAAGTTGGAGGCTATTGTATTGAATATCCTCAGAGGGCCGCGCGATCACTTCAATTCACACATAGGCAGTTATTGCTCAGTTATTGCTATGCAGTGTATAGAGATCACTGATGTTCACCCAGCACTGCCTATGGGATTGTATGGGGTGGTGCATGACAGGGGTAGCCATAATCCGGTCCCTTCTCTTGCAACCACGGCTTCTTTTACATCAAAAGAGGCAAAGGTGGAGAGCTGTAGTAAGTGTTCGATACTTTTGCATGTCGTAGTCACGCTTGGAGACGCCGCAAAGCGTGTTGCCAACATAAAGAGCAACATACACTGTTGAAAATATTTCTTGTTGGGATTTTCCCGAAGATATACCCCACATTCGGTCATATATATTCGGTCATACATGACAATGGAAACTTTTTTTAGTGATATTGAGCCATTTTTATGCAACATCGTCATTAGAAGCCAGTATTGATCCTTGACATATCATAAGCTGATTTTTATCGACATCCTTCTAAATTCGACACTATTCTAATATCAGCTGGAATTTTGGTTGAGCGATAAATCGCTGTGACAGAATAAAGCCACAGCAAACCAGATTTTTAAGTTGGCTTTAAAAATCCTTCAGAGCTAATAACCATCAGGATGACCTTATGTGCAACACTGGCTTCATAATGAATTGTTTTTACAAATAGTCTTATAGAAAACCCCAGTTGCAAGAATATGTTGATATGTTTTACATGAGTAGAAGGAATAAACGAATTTTCACGGCTCGACAAAGGGTACCATATATTTGATTACCTGACGTGACTGAATAATGATATAACTCCATCACACGTTTTCGTGTTCACCACAAAAGCTTGCTTGCGTTCAGTGTACGACCCTGAACAATAAGCAAAACTAAGACCAGAAAGGAAAAAAATACCTGTTCACCTGGTGTTCGGTCATGCAAGTATATCCATTATATGAGAAGAGCAGGCCATTTTGTTCAAGGGGTGAGACTTTTCTTCTCCGAAATCTCAGTTAGAGACGGCATTGTTAGATTTTGTCACGCTGCGCCAAACAGAAGGCCGTCAATGAACTGGTTTGCGTTGTTGAATCCATGTAAATAGTTACATAGGGGAAGTAAAGGACCTGATATACCCTTCGGGGGTCAGTTTTTCCTCACAAGTTTCACGTGCGAACATGGCTGCCGCTTTGATGATGTACTGCCACTGTATTCCGCCGTGCCCTTTACAACCGTTGGTGCGTGTACTCATCTAAACGGCACAGCTATCTGGTTGCACAAGTAAAGTAAGTGTTTCGTTTGATAATACCTTTGTCAGACAATAAATGCCACAGTTGCATTTTAAGCAGTTGAATCACGATCTGTGAAAAATTTCATGCAGGCAATTATCTGTCTCATTAATAGAAATTTTGTGCAACTTTCCATACACTACTGGAAACTACACTGTATTAGAAACAGATGTCTGCATGGGAGTCAGGTTGGCACGGTAATTCTTTCCTCGTCTTCCACCTCTGTGGTCCCGGGTTCGATTCCCGGCCCGGTCCACATGTGGACTGGGTTTTCAGTCCCTACCTGACTCTGTGGGTTTTACCTAGAACATTCCTCTGGGGTTTTCCTCCCACATCTAAAATTGTAACTGCTACTAACTGTCTCCCCTTTACTGATGTTGGTGAAAATGGGTCGTTTGGCGACTGCCCGAGGCGCCTTTGTATGCCATCGGCTAAACTGTGTTTAATGTATTCATTGTTCCACGCTTAATGTCTTCACTGTACAGCGCATTTGAACATATCTATATGAAATTTGCGCTTTATAAATGAATTTATTATTATTATATTGAAGAAGTGCACCTTTCCAATCTTGTCCATGCTTTTACTGGCAAAGGAGAGCGATATTGTGTTGGTGCCATTACAGGGCAAGGACACTCTTCATAATTGTCAGGACTTCAGCTCAAGTAAACATCTTCAAAAATGGCTGAAAAAGGCTTCAAGATACCCTTTTAGATGAGAAAACAGGAAATGGAAATCAAATTGAAAGCGACACACGGGAGTAGTTAAATGCATTTACTAATTGCATCGCCTTGTCCAATTGGCACAGTGGGGACTGTGTTTTGAGACTATACACTACATTTTTCTCCTAAAAATATTTTCAGTACTTTCCTGACGACAAGGGCACCGATTACGATTCATTCTACACGTGTATTATTAAGGTATAAGTTTGGTTGATTAGGGATTGATTTTGCGTGTGTGCTGTGCAATTCTTATCACGTATAAGACTACGGCTCCTTTACCTAGTATCCAGAAATCTTGATCGGACCGTACTTCATTTACGTCGAATGCACTTACAAGGTATATATATATATATATGCATTGGTTGGCCCCACTACTGTAATCTGTTGAAACATGAAAAAGGAAGATTTTTTGATGTAAATCTTATTCTTTTAGGCAATGGATGGTGATTGCGTGCAAATGTATATTGAAGAAACACAAACATTTTGTCAAAATAACGCTAAATTCTTGCGTCGAGAATTAAAAATGGCAACATTTCTTGACAAAAGTGTTTGCGTCAAAATGAAAATTAAGGTCAAAGCGTAGCCTCTAAAACGTTAATGTTAAATTTACAACATTAAATAGCACATTAAATACGTGTAACAAACATTTACCATTGGGTTAATGTTGTGAACCACAGTACAGTAGGCCTACTGCACGTTTAACACAAATATTTTAAAAGCCTAATTCGGGGGCCAAGGAAACGAAGTATTTTATTTTTGGCTTGGCCTTTCAGAGGTCTTGTAGATTGTAGCATCGACATGTATGGTAAGTCATGGAGAAATAGGGCAGGAACAATTGATGAGTCCACAAATTTCACCGGGAAAATGTTTTGTGCAGTCTGCTCTCAAATGTCAGACAAGAATTTAGCAGCACACTGGGGTAGGCACAACCACGCTGAGCACCGCATGAAATAATCCCTACGTGTAGTAAACGTGTCTACTGCAGGGACAAGGCTTTTCTGCAGACTGTAAAGCAGCACTGTGCCTATATATGTATGTACCTGATGACGTCAGTTTTTTGTTTACACTACAAAGCGTAACAGAGCCATTCGGGTGCACGGTCCACTAAACATCAGAGAACCAGGGTGGATGCTCGTGTCAGGTTTCACGTCTACATGCATACGGAATACGGTCATTAAATTCACGGCGATCATCGGTCTTTTTATATACATGTAAGTGGTGGATGTCGACCTCAGTAGACTAAGAACATTGTGATTTAACCTGTCCAAAGGTCACACAGAACTTCCACTGGATCCCACCACCCAGCGCTATTTATGAGTGAGACCGATACGGTAAAATAGCCCCCTCTAACTATGAAGTTAATATATCACCGTATGATGCAATGCAGTAGGCAAACTTATAAGTGAGGCTTGTTCGAGCCTTCTCCTTGCAAATTTTCGTGACACTGAGTAGCCTCACGTGTAAGCGTGCCTGCTGTATTGCATCATACGATAATATATTAGCATCACGGTTCTTGCAGGCTATTTTGCTGCACAGGCCTCACTTATAAGTAGCGGTGGGTAGTCGGATCGGGTGGAAATTCATGGGTGCTTTGCGTTCGTGAACATTTTCATCCCTCTTTATACTTCTGCCCAGTTGCAGATATAAAAGACTTTCAACCGTGTAAATCCAATGACAGAAGGCAGACACAGTTCCCGATGTCTCCAAGGTTTCTACATTGTCCTCTGCATGCACATCAGCACAATGCTTTGGACTGGACTCCTCGCCAAAGGTCTAGGGGTGATGTTACCCACGCTGCGGGAGCAATTTTCAGCCGACACCTGGATGATCGGGAGTCTGATAGCAGCCGTGAATGCCGCAGCAGGTTTTGCAGGTAGGCTGTGGACGGAAAATTACGTTCATCCTCCAATAGAGGAAGGACACAGAAGGAGTTGCAAAGCAGGCACTTCAAAATGTTCAATGATGGTCACCGCCGAGTCAGACGAATAATAGAAAACAATCCAAAAAGGCCTGATTACTGCCTGCATTTTAGCCGGACAAGCGGGGCCAGTAATATCCTAACAATAATTGTAGGTTTTGCTTGCGATTAAAAACAAATTATCGCTGTTACCTGGAAAAAGGAGAGAAGAATCCCCGATATTAGACCTACCTTTGCCATCGTAAATAAACTTTTAATGTTTGATACACTGTTCCATTACCCATGCAAAGTTTGCAGTTTTATTCTCCTCCGTCCAATACATCAGTGTTGAAAGAGTTGGTACTAATTTGGGTAGGACTGGCCGACAAAATGTTCACTACTGTTGGAAAGCTTAGAGCTTTAGGAACAAAATGCGCTATTTCATCACAGGCATCGCGAAATCTCATAAAGTACGCTTTTTTACAAGTGCCATAATAAAAATGTCGAAGTGCAGTGAAGAATTTTACGTCCAAAATACAGTGTATGTAAAAATATCAGTTTGCCATTCTGAGCTCCAGCGGTTCTTTTTCCAGGATAACCCTTTCAGCTCCAGCCCCCCTATGCTATCCCCCTTTCAATACCGACCTACAGAAGCATAAGCTATCAGCTTAATACCACAACCTGATATGGTCCGTATGCTTTCACGCGGCCCTCTGCAGATTGCATGGGCATAGTAACTGTATTTTAGGCCATCGGTCACTCTAGGGGCTAAAAATAAACGTGACTGGTCCGTGCGGGACGAATAAGCTATAAGTCGTGATTTTGATTGGACAGTACTAGAGCATTAATTAGTCACAATCTTAGTCGAAGCATAGTCCATGACAAAAACTTGTGCTCTTGAAAGGGATTTCCCGAATTTCCCTTTGCTGCCAATATTTCAACTTTGAATTTTGTGAATATCTTCACCCCAAATCAATAATGCAATGCAATTAGTAAATAGAATGGAATCAGATTAATTAAAGTTTTGCAGGTAGTCCTGTGCATAAAATGCCTTGCTCTTTGTCATCCAAACCCATATTGCCTCGTAAACATCAAAAAGGTTTATTGCACCAGTGGCCTATTCCGTGCTTTGGACTGATTAATATTGGGGGGGGGATATTCCCACTCCTCGGGGAATGACACTCATGAACTGCACTAGAAGCTACCCAATGTTTCTATCATTGAGGTGAATAACTGTGGATATGACCAATATCGTCATAAGGTTACTCATTTGTAAATTGGGGTTTTGTTTCGCCATGTTTCCGCCATGTTCCCGTGGCTATACGTGTACACGGATTCAGTGAATCTGTTGCGACGCACTGAAGAAGAAGGTCCGGCTATGCTCCACTCACGCTTTGCTGCTGCCGGAAAACCATCTTCATTGTCTTCCACGGCATCGCTTGCATCAGAGGATAACATGTCGGAGTCGCTATCGGCCAACAATTGTTACAAAATGTCTTCGTTTTCCATGTTTTGCATGAAAAACAGTGGGAGTGCATAGCGTACGGCACTCACGCTATTAGTACCCCATAAACGATTCCCGCCTGCCATTGTGCGACCAATCAGAAGTGGGTGCTGAAGTGAGGGCGTCATTACGCTTTAGGCAACCTGCCAGTTGCATTGTTCCTGAATTGCACTTTGGAAACCAAGGGGTTGCAGTTTTTTGTGCTCACCTGGCACTGTGGTATGCAAATGGGTGTGTCATCTGTGCCTTTTTGGCACAACGGGGTTGAAAGGGTTAAAATTCAACATGTGCATGTCAGTGGTATATCGCTTGATTATTTCAACGTAAACTGTTTTGTGAGTGATCTGTAAGCTGCAATTGAATGCAGCCTTGCTTACTGTTGATTGATTCTTGTGTTTTGTTCGTTTTACACAGATGTCGTTTAAAAAAAAGATTGTCATTCTGGAGTATAACCACATAGGCCAAGGGCAAAGGGACCTTCCTCTACTAATGCAACAATTTTTGTCCAAATTCAACTTTAAATATCTTAAGTTTGCAACGACGAATTTTAAATCATAGTTGGCAGTTTTTGTTGGTGTTTTTGTTCCATATGCTGCGACGTTTAATACGATCACCTGTAACATGGAAACACCCGTGCAATTGGTTGCAGGCTGCTAGAAAAAGCCGTGTGATTAGTTAGATTGCGAGAGATTTGCGACTTAAAATGTTAAAATAAGGCAATACTCCAAAATTATTATACCCAACTGCACTGCTCAAGTAATGAAATTGTTCTAATTGATATTTTTCCTATTTTATCAACGCAGGTCCCCTGTCTGGGCCACTAGATGGTATATTTGGAACTCGTACTGTGGTCATAATGAGCGGTATCCTTACTGGAGCGTCTATGATTCTGGCGTCTTTTTCAACCAGTACTCTCCATATAGCATTGACGTTATGCTTGTTGGCAGGTAGTCTTTAACAATACTACACAAGAGTAACAATTATTTTCTTAGAAACCAATGGTCAGAAATAGCTATATTTGATATCAAATTGGAGATTAAGATGTTTTGCTTTCAAACCCGAAGACTTAATTTAAGTTATTTAACCACACAATACAGGCATAAGCACGGTGCTGGCAACCACCTCAAAAGTTCAAGGTTTCGGGTTTTTGTTTTGGTTCAGTTCAGTCCTGTCTTTTCTCGTGATTGAACGTAAACACGATTGAAGCATGGATCCACATGGTTTTCTGTAAAAATCAAGATTAAACCTTTACACCACTTTTGAATCTGGATAAACGGCCAGAATTCCTTTGATATCTGTTTGATGTAGGAGACTTTCTACTCTTACTCCTTTGCGGTCTTTTCCGTGCAAGTAACATCAGCAAAATCCCCATTAACATTAAAAGTGTGGTTTTTAAAATTTTTTTTAGGCAGCAGTTCTCATTTAAGTGCATAACCCCTCAAGCAGAAATAATGAGTTCATTTCCCCAATTACAAGCATTTCTTCCATTCTCTCTAGGGCCTAGCTTATACATCATCACCGTCTTGACCAGAGCAATGGCTGGACATCATTTCACTACAGGCTACGCCATCGCTACTGGTATTGGAACATCAGGCCACGCTGTGGGCTTGATGCTTCTTGCGCCCCTGACTCAGGTGCTTTTAGACACCTACGGCTGGCGAAGTGCCTTACTACTCCTTGGGGCAATCAGCTTGAACCTCGGCGTGTCTGGCTTCCTGCTGAGAAAACCACATCGTGCAGAGGCACGGAAGGAGTACCTACCAATTGGCTCCAGTGATGAGGAGCCATCCGTCAACAATGCAAGAAGCCATGATACCGACAGAAACTCACTACTCCGCAGGGTGAAGAACGTCGTTATAGTTTGGAAGAATTTATTGGGATGCGCAGTTTGTAGCCGTGCCGAGTTTTGGATCGTGTTTCCCATTTTGGGTTGTGATTCCCTTGCCATAGATATGTGGATGATGTACCTTGTTACGTACGCCGAGGCAAAAGGTTTTTCTGGATACGAGGCTGTGACATTCACTCTAGCCGGAGGTATAGGGAATATGGTTTTCAAGATCATCATAGGCTTAATTTTGGACCTTGAGTTCTTGAAATTGCGGCTTAGTCTCTTTGTGACGATCATTGCGGGTTCTCTGTGTTTACTGACACTTCCCTGGATGAATACATACTGGATGATGATGATGAATGCATTTCTGTACAACGGCCTCAACGGTATGATAGGAATCTTGAATGACATTTACACCCGCGAGCTGTTCGGAGCTGAAGAGTTAGTGGCAGCTTTTAGCTGGATGGGTGTTTTCAAGGCAGCTCTTGTTCTCACTTTTGGATTTTTCCCAGGTAAACGCCTAAGGAAGCATTACACCGATGAATCAGGAAAGTCGACATAATACTTTTCATTTTGAACTTCATGCACTAACTTTACAGTAAGGCACTGAAGTAGTGAAGGCAGTCTGCCTGGCACTCACCCTTTGACCCTTTCAAAGGAAATGTGAAGAAGTCAAGTTTTGAATTATGAGTAGGTGTGAGGTTGGGCGGTTAAAAATTCTGGTACTGTTTGAAAGTGTGTGTTGACGAGGATGACGTTTTGGTCGTTTCAACGGGAAAGATTGTATTGGATTTTTCGGTACAGATTTTAGCGATTATCAGCTATGGTAATTTGAACCTGAGAAATATTTGATGTGGGTTAGATGGTCCTTCAAGTGTGCCAGACAGACTACCTCCTCTGTGCACTGTTTATTTGGAGGTTTTCAATTCAAAGTATCAACGTAATGTGCTCATTGAAATTACTTTGCTGAAAATTTTACTTGCAAGCTACACTGGTGTAGCTCTAATGAGGCACATGTTCCCTTGGAGATCCATGTGCCTTCCTCCTAATTTAATATCTTGAAAAGTAAGCAATCTTTGTATTAGCTTGTAATTGATCAATTTTCGGTGCCCCTTTGAGAATGCCCGTAGCCTATAGTACGCCCCAGGGATTTATCCCTAGTTATACCACTAGCTGGCGTACTATGAGGAAGTTGAGCGAAAACGAATTATCAAAGTAGTTAACATTTCCGAACGCAAACTGTCAGAAATCGTCATCGTTTTCAAAACGGAGGGGCATGTCAGAAATGATAACTTTTAATTTCACTCCCACATTTCCTAGTTTGCTTCCGGAACAAAAATGTCACTAATTCCTAATTTGAACTGATGATGCTAGGCGGAGGGAGGCATTCCGAAACTACATTCTGCAATTTCACCGTACCTCCCCCAAACACCCAAAACACATTGAAATACATAAATGTAGGTCAACTTTTTTTTTGATTTTTTGATTTCACGGAAGGACGCCAGATTTGCTTGCCCTGTGTAAAAACGCATTGAACAGAGGGGTGTAAAAGTATGAAATTGTTGATTGTTGTTTTCACGAAGGAAAGAACATCTTTAGTTATACATGTAGTATCTTGAGAACAATACATGTATAACAAATCACATCATTTGGGGAACACTTTTCATTAGAACACCCACAAGTGCATTGTGGGAAGGCTACTAACTGCGTGGCAAAACTCGATCGGGAAACAGAGTTAGTTTAGGCAGATACAACCTGTCCTTGCCTTTTATTCGCGTTTGTCTGTTAACAAGAACATTACACTGGCGACAAGGATTTGTCGCCAGTGTAAGCATTGTATTATGTCAACCCTGCCGTTGTGATTCTTCGTACACGGCTGGGTAGATTCCAAAATGTTTTCCAAGTTTTTAATGTTGTGTTATTTCTGCGACTGTTATTAAAACTCTCCTTGGAGGTGATGACCCTTCAGAAAAATGTTCATTAACTGTGAACATTTTCGTCGGTCAAATGGATCCTTCTGAAGAGAAATGAGAAATGCCTTGGTCAAAAGACATAGATATGCCCAATATCAATTGGATGCACAAAACAGTGTAAAATGTTGCCTTGAAATTGTTTAAAAACTGTTGTTCATTGCAGGTTTGATGTTTGACAAAACTGGAAGCTTCGACCTTGCTTTCGTCATCTTGGGATGTGTAGCAGGTCTGCCATTGGTGTCACTGTTTGCGGAAATGCTATTGAATCGNATGGAAGGTGCGATCGCTTTAAATGTCCGTGATGTCACCGATGATGCAGGTTACATTCATTTGTTCTTTTATTTCTACATAACTACATTAAGTAAAGGTACAACAGGAAGGAAATGGTTGTGGATGGGGTCCCATAGAAGCAGTGCTTGTCGACTAGGGATCCCATAAGGAACAATACACATTCTCATATACAATACAATAATTATGACATACAACTGGACATGATGTAAACAATAAGTCTTGTAGCCCTGCAAGACACTTAACTGTATAAATTAAGGAGAACGTCAATTTCTGAATACGGCAAATCACGGAGCACGTGACACAGGACATTTTTGCCTCTTCGTGAAAACGAAAAATATCACATTTCTGTGAAATACGCGTTGAAGCGCGCACACTTCTATAGATTTGTGCTACTTCGAGGTGTTGGTGACGAAATATTTATTGTTTAACTGATGCATGAGGATCTAAGCTGAAGGAAATATACATCATTACTTTTTGAGATTTTGTACAAATAAAAAAGAGGATTACTATGCTCGAGGTAAGTGGCAGAGTGGTTTATTCTGAACACATTTTGGTGGTTTTAGTATTCTACTGGTTAAACCAACCCCTCAATTACCCATGGCTAATATTCCATATGTATTAAATACTGTACAATTGAAGTTTTGCAAAGTTTTAAACAGTACATCCTGAGGGAGAAGGGGCTTTAACATAAAACTCCAATATTGTTTTCATTATTTTGTTTAAAATTTTCACTATTCTTTCTTTTCCCCTGTTGTTGTTCTGCTGTTGTTGTTAATAAGATAATTGTTTGCCGTGTCTTAAAAGAGGCACAATATGTTCTCTAAAAATGGAAATTCTAATGAGTCTCATCAGCTTCTTTTGTACTGTTAAAAAATAAATGTTTTCAGTAAGTATTCTCTTCAAACAACCTTTAAAGGGAAACTGATTAGGTGTTTATAAATTATTGTGAAGATGAACGAAGAAATTGACTGGGGAGGGATTTGAACCTGCTACCTCACCTTCATTGAGTCGCCCAGAACCGTTTATTTTAGTTTACGGTAACACAACCTGCCAGTGGGACGGAAGTATTACGAAATGATAATCTGATTCAAAACAACTGGACACACGGTAAGTTTGGAGAGTTGTAGACTAAACAAAATCGCCACAACCTGCGCAGTCTGTATAAATAAAAATGCATCTTGCCGTGAAAGATTTGATCCCAAGACAAAACATTTGACTAGCATTTCAGTACACATGGACATACAAAAGTAGACAGTGCCCCTGTAGTGTTATCATGCATGTTTGGGATTAATGCACTTATTATTCAACCACACTGTTTGTTGTCAAAGTGATTTTTTTAAAAATGACTCACTTCCAAGTATAATTTGTGGTAGAGGATTTTGCATTTAATTTAACGATATTGCGAATAAAAATTCAACAAGACTTTAAAATGTAGTTCAAAATGTAAATATGATTTTAAGCATGTATTGAATATGAAGTACAAGAAATGGTGATGCAGGGTTCAGCGCAGAATATTTCAAAACACGTGGTGGGACGAACAGCGAATTCAGCATGGATATTATCTGACAAAAACAAAACAACTTCATAAGTCTGAAGTCGAGTTGGCAAATCGATTCGCTAATTTCTTTCAAGATAAGATCAGCAACTCACGACGTATGAGTAGTGTGGGTCAAGGAGATTTTGATATTCAAGATCCAATTCTTCCTGAAGGATGTAAGCTTAATTTAGGCTCCACCACTTGTGCACAGATCCAGCAAATCATACTCAAGTGTCCTTCAAAAATTGCACTTTTAAAATGCTGTCTGCCTGAAATTTGCCCAATAATCACATCTCTTGTTAATTCTTCCAATAACCTTGCAGTTTTCCAAATGACTTTAAGTTATCTACTGTCGCTACCATTCCAAAATCTCGCAACCTCAAGGCTGATCAAGCCGAGTTGCTTAAGAATTATCGGCCAGTTGCCAGTTTACCATTTGTCTCTAAGGTTCTGGAGAAGGTGGTTGCGCAACAACTGACCAATTATGACCAGGTTTATGTTACATGAACCTTTCCAACAGGCATATAAGCGCCAAGGAAACGGATTTTAAAATGATTTTTGAAAAAATATGGATGAGGGCAAAGTCTCCATTCTGGTATTTCTTGATCTAAGTGCTGCTTTTGATACGCTTGATTATGACATTTTGCTTCATCGATTAAGGACACATGTAGAAGTTCCACAAAATACCTTAGAGACCGTTTACAAAGAGGTTAGATTCGCTCTTTATCGCCTGATGGTCGGAGTGGATCAGATGTCGGAACCACGAGTGACACCTATACACTTAAGTATGGCGTCCCCCAGGGCTTTGTACTCGGACCACTTTTATTCAATGTGTTGCAATTAGGGAATGTGATTAGGCATTATAGACTAAGTTGTCATTTTTATGCAGATGACACTCAGGTCTATTTGTCAGCACAGCCAACGGTCCGTAACATGTGTCAGTTTTGGAAAAATGCTGTGACGACGTCAGATGTTGGATGGCGATTAATCCAGACAGATCTACTTCTCCTTGGATCGCATACATGTATGTCGTTGAGTAAAATTCCTAGAACTGTTGTGAAAATTGGTAATCACAATATTACCGCAGTCTCTGAAGTCAAGAGTCTGGGTGTGATTTTTTACAACAAAATGAATATGCAATCCCACATCAAGAATGTCTATCGCACTGCAATGTATCACCTGTACAACATAAGCAAAATCAAACGTTATTTGGGTTAATCAATCACGGTGCAGATTATTTGTGCACTTGTTAATCTACGTCTCTCGTAGACTATTGTAACTCTGTTTTAATAGGTCGAACAGCGTCAGCCCTTGCTGCAAGGTTACTCACTAATTGCAAGAAATATGACCACATTGCGCCTGCTCTGATGCAATTACATTNAAGTGATTTGCTTGATGTTAGGACTCCTAGTCGATTCACTCGTTCCGCGCTGGACTCGTCTAGGCTTACTCCTCCAAAAACTAGGCTGTCTTCTGATGGCGAGAGTTTATTCTCTGTGGCTGGTCCCCCTCTCTGGAACTTGCTTGAAGGTCATCTTAGCCGGGAATCTAGGAATGTGGAGAGTTTTAAGACCGGGCTGAAGACGCACCTTTTTCTAACCATATTAGGTTTCTTAGTACTGATTTTAATTATGGTACATGTAGGTTATATTTATTTATTCATATTTTGACGTACAGCGCCTGGGAGCAGCTTGATGGATCGGGTGCTTTGTAAATATCAGTTATCATTGGTTATTATTATTATGTAATAGGCTTAGACTAGGGTGGCCTAATGTTCCCTTTAAGCTCTGCTTTCCATTAGATATAAACAGGTAGTATTTCCATCTGTGATCCCGGTCAAGACATGTATCACATGTTTTGCCACCGCTTTATAACTCCCCCAGCCTAAGCCCACCCCCAACCCACCCTACATGGAGAGTGAATTTCGTCCCACCATCTTTTGGAAAACAAATTTGAACGTATATTTTGAACTCAGCTTATCAAACAACTGCATTTGAGCTATGACACAGGGAATTTCGAGCAATCGGTAACCTTGTCAAAGTTCCCCGCTCTTTATAGCGCGCCACAAAACACAATAACCAAATTGCTTCTAGTGGCAGCTACAGAACACATGATTTATATGGTTATTTATAAACTTTGAGCACTCTGGGATCTGTAGCCAGCACAGTGCTCACATGCAATTTATAAACGTGCCATGTGTTCTGTACAAAAATGACAACTTGTTACCCCCAGGCCAATCCACCAAAATGAAGGGATCAACGGATGAATAGATATTAAACAAAACTAACAAAAGCTTGCCCTCTAACAAACAATCACTACTGAAAGCTTGTTCCCCCATAAGATGTTGGTGGCCCCTTTTGCCCCCCACTAGTAAAATTACACCTGTGCCGCTAAACGTCCCCGCATGGAGGTGAAATTACCGGTATTACCGTGTTAATTGCAGCAATGTTGCTTTAAAAGAAAAAAATCCGTTCCGACTTGGCACTAAGTTTAACACTATACCGGCACTATGAAAATTGAATAGAGATTGAACGGTGCGGTGAAGCTGTTGAATTTTACCCTTGTCCATTATACCTGACACGGTTGTTTGGTAACCATTCTGTGAGTTTACGGTTGAATACCCTAGCGATAAAGTAAACCTGAAAATATGCCTGGAAATATAGTCAGCAATCGAAACACAGGCCTATTTCATCCCAGGCAAACCTGTAAACAGTTCACGCGATCAATATCTATAATTTGACCCCTCAACAAAGATAAATGGAAAAGTGGTTGGAGGTTGCAACTGAATGTGTTATCAGAGGCAGGTTTTTTCACCGACTTTGCGTTTGGCACCCGCTGCCAATGCAAACTGCAGAAAATTCCCGCAAATTTGTGTCGCTATAATGGTGTCACATTAAAACTGCAGGGGTGGTCCATCAACCTCAAGAAGTCGTGATGGCGCTTAAGAAACTGATATGTACACTGACACCGAAAAAAGACGTTTCCAGATAATCGGTTGAGTTTCTCCTGTTTAAAAACTACTACTGTAGAAACTACTTCTTTCAAACAGCCTCGTGCAGTAAAGGAAACCTTCACATGATTCTTTGAAATCCAAACATTTACGCCAAACCAAAAAATGAAATGAGAGCGTAGGTTAAATAGCCAAGCTTTATAACTTAAGATACTCTGTCTTTCGTGAAGAGGAAAATCCACATTTTCGTACCTTTAAACCCCTCTTTTCAATGCGTTTTTACACATGGCAAGGGCGTACTGGTTTTATCCGCGCAGCTGAAACTGTATCAAAATATGCCGTCCCTCTCTGAAAAAAACTCTGTTGACTTACTTTTATGTCTTTCCGGGTATTGTGTACTGTGTGTTTGGGGGAGGCATGCTCGCGTCTCGTGAAAATGCAAAATGGAGTTATTGGAATGCCTCTGCTTCAATTTAGGAAACAATGACGCTTTAGTTACGTAACCATAATAGGAAATGTATCAGCAAAATCAAATAGTTGTCATATTTGACATGCCCCTCCGTTTTGAACACGATAATGATTTCTGACAGTTTGCTTTCAGAACTTTTAACTAATCCATGATTCGTTTTCGCTCAACCTTTTTACAGTACGCCAGTTACAACTAGGGTTAATCCCCAGGGGCCACAATATAAGCTACTTCCATTTTCAACTAAGAATATTCATCGGACGTTTATTTTTCAAAACACCAAATGAAGAGGAGGACACCAGGTCCCGGACTCTCCAAGTGAACAGGTGCACCATTAATATTCAATTTCAGCTAAGCATAAAGATATTAAAATACCAAAATACATGAATTTCCCTTCCTCTATAATCTTGTAAGTAATTATATAAATTGGCAATAGTATTTTGGTTTGAGTTACGAATCATAACAAGTCTTAATGTTTATGAATAAACGATTATATCGTCAATCATACCACGATCTGACCTATCATCATTTTTGACGAATTTGAGCTGTTTGCAAATTTTTGTTATGCTTGAAAATTTTTTCTCTGAAAAATTCAAACCTATTGGTGCACTGAAAATCTAATTACATTAATTTGTTTAAATTAAAAATGTTGGCCATGCACAAGTATTTTTCGGGGGGGTTGCTGATATTTGAATACAATCGTGATTGACATTCGTACGATGACATAAAATCCTAAGCGAGGCGTTCTTGTGCAGTCAGTCACGTGACGGCACGATACTGTGGCATTCTCGTCTTTTGGAGTCTGCTACCTGGTTGGGCCAGCCCACGTCAGCGAGCAATCTAGCCTTAGAAGGCTGGTGACGGCGATCTGTTTAGGCGGCAGTTTACCACTTGGCTTGCCACACAACAGCCTCGACGAAAGGGGACGGTAACAAGGGGACAAATACACTTGATACAGGGCCACACTTTTTTAATCACAAAAACTTACGCCTTCACAAGGGCGCTTCACCTTCGTTACAATTATAATCCGCGGCACAGCAACATTAAGAAATTACAACGAGTGTGAATTACTGATCCTTTCAAGATTTAAAATGGACAATCACAGAAAATGACTAATTTCCAGTGTGTCTCTGTGATTAGCGATTAGTGCGGTGACATGCCAAACTCACTCTCGAGGCTTCTTTCCCAGGCCTACACACAACTATGTTCTAAGAGAATACTGGTCTGCTGAAGTCAACTACCACTGCAGGCGGGCGAGTCACGCCTGCTGCGCGTTTTTGAAGTGATACCCTCAAATGATCATACAAATGGACATACCCAAATACCGGGAACCAACTAAGGTGAAGAATAAGGGAGACAGTTACAATTGTTCATGTCACGTTTGTGGGACTCGATAATTTATTTTTTTTTTCAGACTACCCCATTCAGATAAAAAATAACAGTTTTCCTGTTTGATTTATTAAGCCAGTATAGATAAAAATTTAAGTCTACACAGTTAAAAAGAAGCTAAATGTGATGAACTGTACCAAGTTATATTCAGTTGCCATATTTCTGATTAATATTGCAAAGCATACAAACATTAGAATTGTTTACTACATACTGCAAAAGGAATGACACCGGACAAAAAAGACACTCTGCTTGAATCTCTCGTTGACTATATTTTATATGTAAAAAATATTACAAAACTGTTCATTTCAATTCCTAAATTGGAATTAAAGCTCTTTCCTGTTTTCACAGTCAAATAGTGAAGTGGAGGTCAACTTTGACATCTCGTAATATTTTGAAAGATTAACCACTCCATCTAATTCAAATTTTGTCAGCAGGATCAGATATTTAAGATTGCCATTTTCTCAGCATTGTCGATGATAGCATTATTTGTGCCTTGTCAGAAATGTTGAAATAATGTGAGACATAAAGACGCAAAGCTGCCATAATAATACCATGTAGTCACCTTATACACAAAGTGTTCCATGTACACACCATTGAAAATCTCTCTTTCTGCTGTTTTAGAAAGAACTATATCTCGATTTTTAAAAATTCCGACTTTTAGCTCATTTTGTGGTGACAGGTCACATTAATGAATAATCTTTGCAGAATTGTCTCAAAATTCGCCACTTATCTTAGCCACTAAGCGAATATGTGACCAACAATGTCGAGGACATTTAAAGTGGTCGCCCCTTTCGTCGGCTTAAAAGCGCTTCCGCAAAGAGCGACACCAGCGGTAGAATCGATACACATCCCAAGATGACGAATGCCAGGTCGTAGCTTCCAGTAAGGTCGAACATCAACCCTGTAACAGGCAACAATATGTTACTTTTCCACTCTGAAAATGATCACGTATCGTAGTGTTTACTGCAATGTCATATTGGGATAGAATGGGGGTGTTTCAAAAGGACGGATGTTTTGTGTAACCGTCGCTTTTAATCTTCTGTGGAAAGTTTCCTCCACAATTGGAGACGGTATTAAGATTGCACCTTGCATTCGCGATGAACTGTAACTTACCCGTGCACTATTTCTCCCACCCATGACATACAATGACCCCCTTTCTATCCCACCAGCTGATGTGAACACAGTCAGTACGTAGGGCTATTACTGTGTTCACGAGGTCTTGCTGTGTCTTTTCTTCTGAAAATTGACTATTTAAATAACAATGGGGAATTCTTGCAGCACAGGTAAGCAAACTATCCTACTACCGCCCTACAGCCTAAGATGGCTCTACAGAAGTCTCAGGTGCAACACGCACTTCCCTTCGGTGTGTATAACCAATTGTGAATGTGTACAGGTGATCATGAAGAGACACATCCGTGTCATGTTAGCCTTCTAGAATTAATCCCTTGCACTATAACTCCCGTATAACTCACACCAAAAAAAATTCCAAAACTATAAATTTACAATTTTTTACAGAAGAATGAAGAAAGGATGGTCATTTACGGGAAGTGATATTTTTTTCATCAAAGGCTCAATAAAAAAAGCTGGTTTTAAATCGTCAAAAGGTCTATGCAATATTTTTTTAAGAATGTCACCCCAAATATTTTTTCTTGACCAGCTGAGTTTCGTATTTTCCAAGGGGCATTTTAGTTGAATCCCATAACCAAAGTTCGATGTTATCAAGTCAGTTGTTAAGGGGAACGCACCCAAAAAGGATACACTCATACGTCAGAAAAACAAAGAAAACTTGAAGGTTTTAAAAAGCACCATTGAATGCGAGTATCCAACCGTCACGTGTTCTAGTAAAAGCTACATTATTATCCCCATAAACAAACAGGAACATAACTTTGGAAAAGAAAACTGGGTTGATACACCAATATGTCCAACTCTGGTCTATATGACAGCACACATGAAAGATTCGATTGTACCTTAATTTCAGATGAAAGTAGTTTAAAAGCTTATTCTTCAGAGTGGACATAAAAAAGGTCAATGTTTTTACTAAAAGACACTGATTTTTCTTCCAAATGTCTTTTCCCCAAAAAATTATCCAGGCTATGGGATGCCTACAACTTTTTTTTCAAATTTACTGAAATCAGCCAAATCACGATGTTTGTCGCAAAATTCAATATACCGCATTCTACGTTTCCAAGAAGAGACAATTATTCTTCTCTTCCAAAGGGGGAATTATGCTTTTGAAAAAGTTAACAACTACAGTGCAATTTTTTTCGAAAGCTGAGTAACCGTTTTACTTTTTGGTGAGAAATTCGCCTCTATTTGAAAATGTTGACAATAAGCTGCGTATATAAAGTACTAGAGTCTTTTACCTGGGAAAAAGCCAAACGCAATTGTCAAGGCTGCTGTAAAAACAGCTAGCCAGCTGAAAGCAGGAACTAAATTTTCATCTCCGAACAGATCACGAGTGTAAATGTCACCCAGTATTGCTATCATTCCGCTGAGGCCGTAGTAGAGGAAAGCGTTGATCATCATAATCCAGTATGTGCTCATCCAAGGAAGGGTCAGCAAAGTCACAGAGCAGGCAATGGTGGTCACAAACAAACTGGGTCGCATCTTCAGCAGCCCTTTGTATAAAATCAGGCTAAAGACAATCTTGAAAACCACATTTCCTATTCCCCCAGCTAGACTAAACGTCACAGCTTCGTATCCAGAAAAACCTTTAGCCTTGGCATAAGACACAATGTAGATTATCCACATATTAGACACAAAATAATCACTCCCAAAAACGGGAACAGCAATCCAGAACTCGACGCGGCCACAAACTGCCCACCCAAGAAGAGTCACTCGCGCAAAGATAGTTTCCTTTAAGATGTGGAGTCGTGATTTCTTCTTAGCATTAAAGCTTCTTGATTGGCTGGTAGGCGACTCATTCTTCTTCCCTGGTCACGATTGGTCGGTACTTGTCTCGTGCCCGTGTTGACTCTGGTGCTGATCGTAGCAGGAAGCCAAATGCACCAAGATGCATGCTGATAGCCCCTAGAAGTAGCATAGCACCTCGCCAGCCATAGGTGTCTAAAAGTACTTGAGTCAGGGGCCCAATGAGCATCATGCCCACTGCATGGCCTGAACTCCCAATACCAGTAGCCATGGCATAGCCTGTGGTGAAGTGATGACTGGCCATTGCTCTGGTCAAAATAGAGATGATAGACAAACCAGGCCCTGTACAGATTAAGCAAAAAGCCCGGACATTGGGGAAAAGAGTTTGAAATTGCTACTACGTGTACCTATTTTTGAATCTTTGAAAACATTTTTATTATTCAAAACGAACAAGACTCTACCAGTAATCAACTCGGGGATGATTTAACAAGGCGTCTTAATCAAGAGCTCTTCTAGGTAAATACAACTGAAGCGTCAATATAAGCCTTTTCCGATAGCAAGGGATTAATTTGTTTTAGATTTTCATTAGAATATTTCAAGAAATAGTCGATGAAAGTCTGTAAAACTGAACGAACTAAACTCCTGCAATTCTGTTGGAACTGAAACGATTCTATCTTTCTTATCCAGACACGTGATAGTAATCCGTAGATTTTTCAAGGACATATCCATTCGATGTTTTCAACCATCTTTATGACTATTATATTAAAAACTGTGGTATTTTCTACAGCTGAAACTGAAAACAATGTGACCTTTCAACAGGAAGGTTTGTCTTGTGCGCACTCTTTTATTTGTCTAACACGAAATAGCCTATTTTGTATGCACATGATCGTTGAGTACACACGATAAACATAGGCTACTATTTCCCAACGATATTTGATACCCTTTCCTTAATCGACAAAAGAAAGGAAAACGAAACACGTTCCGGAAGAGAAGACTGCTCATACTTGTGTTTTCTAACTTCTGGTCATTAATTAACAGAAAAGAAAATATAGCATACCTGTCAATAAGGATAACGTTAGTGCCAGATGCAGTGTGCTGGTTGAGAAAGACGAGAGTATCAGAGACGAGCCACTAAGGAGACCACTCATTATGACCACAGTGCGAGTTCCAAAAATACCATCTAATGGTCCAGACAGGGGACCTGCGTGGGTGAAGTAACAACACTAGCAAAACCAACTGCAAATTGGGTTTTGTACGTTTTGAAACTGTGATATCCAGTAAACCAACACTTAACGTGAGAACCATCTAAAAGGCACTACTCTTCAAGTTATCACTTTGGATTACCGGAAAATTTCCTCTTCAATACAACTGCTGCTCTAAAATCATTACAAAACAGTTTATTTCGAAATTGATCGTTACACCATCGGCATGCTCAGTTTTAGATTAAAACGAAAATCAGCCTTATTCTTGTTGGTTCTTAAACCGCAAACACACCTGCAAAACCTGCCACAGCATTCATGGCAGTAATAAGACTGCCAATCATCCAGGTGTCAGNTCAAAATAGAGATGATAGACAAACCAGGCCCTGTACAGATTAAGCAAAAAGCCCGGACATTGGGAAAATGAGTTTGAAAATTGCTACAACGTGTACCTATTTCTGAATCTTTGAAAACAATTTTACTGTTCAAAACGAAAACGAGTCTAAACAGTAAGCAACTCGGGGATGATTTAACACAGCGCCTTAATCAAGAGTTCTTCTAGGTAAATACAGTTGAAGCGTCAATACAAGCCTTTTTCATAGCAAGGGATTAATTTTGTTTTAGATTTTCATTAAAATGTTTCAAGAAACAGTCGATGAAAGTCTGTAAAACTGAACGAACTAAACTTCTGCAATTCGGTTGGAAACGAAGCGATTCTACCTTTCTTATCCAGACACGTGATAGTAATCCGTGGATTTTTCAAGGACATATTCATTCGATGTTTTCAATCATCTTTATGACTATTATATTAAAAAAAACTGTAGTGTTTTCTGCAGCTGTAACTGAAACAATGTGACCTTTCAACAGGAAGGTTTGTCTTGTGTGCACTCTTTCATTAGTCTCACACGAAATAGCCTATTTTGTATGCACATGCTCGTTGATTACACACGATAAACACTACTATTTCAAAACGATATTTGATACCCTATCCTTAATCGACAACAGAAAGGAAAACGAAACAAGTTCCGAAAGAGAAGACTGCTCATACTTGTGTTTTCTAACTTCTGGTCATTAATTAACAGAAAAGAAAATATAGCATACCTGTCAATAAGGATAACGTTAGTGCCAGATGCAGTGTGCTGGTTGAGAAAGACGAGAGTATCAGAGACGAGCCACTAAGGAGACCACTCATTACGACCACAGTGCGAGTTCCAAAAATACCATCTAATAGCCCAGACAGGGCACCTGCGTGGGTGAAGTAACAACACTAGCAAAACCAATAGAAAATTGGGTTTTCTACGTCTTGAAAGTGTGATCTCCAGTAAACCGACACTAAACGTGATAACCATCTAAAAGGCACTACTCTTCAAGTTATCACTTTAGATTCCTGCAAAATTTCCTCTTCAATACAATAGCCGCTCTAAAATCATTACGAAACAGTTTATTTCGAAATTGATCGTTACACCATCGGCATGCTCGGTTTTTGGATTAAAATTAAAATCAACCTTATTCTTGTTGGTTTTTAAACCACAAACACACCTGCAAAACCTGCCACAGCATTCAGGGCCGTAATAAGACTGCCAATCATCCAGGTGTCGG